ATAAAAGAGTATGGATGCTGAATTAGCATCCATACAATAATTGGATAACATAGTATGGATGCTGAATCAGCATCCATACAATAATAATAAAGACAAGGAAAACAAGGTATGGATGTTGATTCAGCATCCATACAATAAATAATAGGATAACATAGTATGGATGCTGATTCAGCACCCATACAATTAGAAAATGGTCAGACAGAAGAGGGTTTTGGGGAAAAACTATTAAGTGTTCAGCTTCGGTGCCATACATCTGAACAAGATCAAGAGTGTGATTAAACAGTGAGTGGGTTTATTTGCAGTTTGAGAAAAGCCAACTGAGTCTAACAATGAACAGAATGCATTGCTGAGGTTGTCATTGTCAGCATCTATATGAATATTAAGGTCGCCTATTATGATTATTTTATCTGTACTAAGCACTAAATCAGACAAAAAGTCTGAGAATTCACTTAAAAACTCTGAATAAGGAGCAGGTGGACGGTAAACAATAACAAATAGAACTGGCTTAGTAGTGGAGGAAAAGATTTATTTCAGCTTTTATTTCTTCTATCACATTCCCAGTGGGTCAGAAGTTTACATACACTCGGTAAGTACTTGGTAGCATTGCCTTTAAATTGTTTAACTTGGGTCAGATGTTTGGGGGACGCCTTCCACAAGCTTCTTACAATAAGTTACAGGAGTTTCAGCCCGTTCCTCCAGACAGAACTGGTGGAACTGAGTCAGTTTTGGAGGCCTTGCTTTTTCAGTTCTGCCCACATATATTGGATTGAGGTCAGGACTTTATTGTCCTTAATTTGCCACAGCTGTGGAAGTCTACTTGGGGTCACTGTCCATTTGGACAAGACCCATTTGTGGCCAAGCTTTAACGTCCTGGCTGATGTCCTGAGATGTTGCTTCAATATATCCACATCATCGTTTTTCCTCATGATGCCATCTATTTTGTGAAGTGCCCCAGTCCCCCAAGGACGAACCAGACTTGTGGAGGTGCACAGTTATTTTCCTGAGGTCTTGGCTGATTTCTTTTGATTTGCCCATGATGCCAAACAAAGAAGTACAGAATGTGAAGGTCGGCCTTAAAACACATCCACAGGTCTACCTGATCCAGAAGCCAATCAGAAGCTTCTAAAGCCATGACATCATTTTCTGGACTTTTCCAAGCTGTTTAAAGGCCCAGTCCACTGAGTGGGTGTAAACATCTGACCCACTGGATATAGTAAATTATAAATGAAAAAAATCTGTCTGTAAACAACCTTTGGAACAATCACTTGTCATGCATTTACATGTCCTAACCGACTGGAGTGGTTAAAAAAATCTGTTTTAATGAATTCAACCTAAGTGTACGTAAACCTCTGACTTCAGCTGTAGAAACCAAACAATAGAAAATTAGGTGTCTATCTGATGTGCACAAATCTAAAACATTTACTGTAGCTGAACTACAGCTTTTTAACTAGAACACACAATAGTGCAACATCACATTTCCTTATATCATTGTTCTGTTTATTTCTGGCTGATGAATGAAAACATTTTCTGTCCAGCTTCTCTGGCAGTTGGCCACTTTCTGTTCTTATTGCAGCTGCACATTGTAAAACGTGTGTGTGTGTGTGTGTGTGTGTGTGTGTGTGTGTGTGTGTGTGTGTGCAGCCTGCTGCTCCAGCAGAGTGCCGAGCTGCTGCACAGAGCTGTTTGTTGTCCAGGGTTCCTTCATACTGCCGTCCTCTGCTACATCAGTCTGCTGCAGCTCTTCCTGGACGGACACACACCTGCACTGACCGCTGACTCCTCTGAACAGCAGGTGACTGAGCCTCGGTTTGTGCAACATGTTCACAGTGAAAGTGCACACTTGTTACATTGCTCTGAAATTAAACACACAAGTTGTATTGTCAGGTGGAGCCTTCTCAAATTCTGAGTGCCACCAAGCAGTTTCTTCTCAGGGTGATCTCCCAGTCGTCTCCTACTGCCCTGTCCTCCAGCCAGCTCAGAGAGGTAACGGCACACACACATCTGCATTACCCTCATGTTCAATCTGCCATTGACAACATTCACTCATCTCTCTTCCACTCGTGTCACTTCTTCCTGTCTGCTCTCTGTCGGCGGGGTTCCTGGTCCAGCTGGAGACCCAGTGTGCAGACCTGGACCCAGAGGTGACAACAGCTCTCTCTGTGCACCTCGACCCTCATAGCCTCAGCCCGGAGATGGACTTCCTCTGATGTTCAGGCAGAGAAAGTGGCTGAAGTGAACGGAGACGTCTGTTATAATGCACTTGTTGGCGGTAGTGGGACCCGATGGTTTACATTTACCAGAAACATGTTCCTGTATCAAACAGTGCTGTTCAGATGTTACTGGGCAAGTCAGACAGGGGTACTGTTAATAAAAAGTCTATTTTATTTACATGTTTATATATAACGCACACTGGACTTATTACACATGTACATCTGAAGCCCTTGTCACTATTTACAACAGAGATAAATTCTTAAAGCGGTACTTAGCATTGTCATAACTTAACAGATGGTGACCTAATGCAACTCAAGTGCATGTTCTTTTTAATTAATTGCACTGAGGAGACCCATACACGTCCTTTACATGTGTGTAGGTAACAAGAACATCACATTGCAGTACTGCATTTATGTGTGTTACGCAGTCTGTTTTATGCGGCTGCTCCTGTGCACAGCTGTCAAATAAAAACATCTGTGCGGACGCATACATAGGTGAAATCCTCTTTCTATCGGACATGTGACAGAGGCACCAGGCGTGGCTGCTCTCTCTCCAGTCTATAATTCTTACTGTTTATGGTAGCCTTTCAGTATATTTACACTCCAGGTACCCACTGAAATGTTTCCTTGTTAGTGGCACAGCCCACCATTCTTGCACTGGACTGAATTTGCTTACATGGAAATACGGTATTGACAGGAAACATGACAAGGAAGCAGGTTTCATTGTTTACTGTGCACTCTCTGACCTATCAGAGCCGTATTAAGTTGCTGCTGATCTAAATCCTACATTGCCTATTGCTCATGCTTCACATGAAAAATGTCCAAAGCAGGAAACCTGGGATGGCTTTTATTGTGAAGCAGCCACAGGAACCAGTCCACATGCATCCACAAAACATTGAGGCATTTTTGGACAGCAGATCAGTTTTTAAATTTGCACAGGGTAACTATTTATTTACCAGGTAAAAGCCTCATTGAGATTAAAAAGTCTTTCAACAGTGACATGAAAGAGCCAGGAGCAGCCACAGCGAGCTGTCGGCTGATGAGCTGCAGGAGACCGGCTGCACAGCTCCAGCGCCTCTGCAAAGTAACAAACTTTCTCATAACCTGCTGTTGTGCTGACATCTACTTTCACCACGTGCAACATGAAACTATATTGATTAGCATTTTTATTAAAAGTTAGTTTGGCTCTGTAAAACGACGGCCTGCCCCTCTTCTGTTTGTGACAGAGTAGCCAGGGGTGTCACTAAATGAAATCTTAAGGATTACAACTTTCAAACTCTGATTAAAATAAATAAAAACGAATGCTTCTTAGATAAAATTCTTACTGTCACAAAGTTAAAGTATACCACTTGTTTTTTATAACATTCCTCTTCAATAGATTGTGTGTGGGAACAAAATCAGTAAACTTGGACTGGAAATTGTTGATGCCTCTGCAGCATCTGTGAAGGAAAGCTGACTGCTTGCTTCCCCCTGAAACGAGTTTAACCCAAACCTAGTTGGTCAGAAAATGCCCTGACAAATGAACATCTACTAAGCCTGCCCACTAAAATGAACGTCCATGTTGAAAACAGCTGTGTGACTGTGCTCACAAAAACTGAGCTAAAGGGGAGTCCTACAGCCGGTCCCATCCCAGTCCACAGAGCACAGTGCAGTACTGAACATGGCAGCACAGCTGTCACTACCGCTCCCTGTCCCACAGTTTTTGTCCCGATGCAGCAGACCTGGACCTGTGTCCCCTGCCGTCACCTGTCCTGGTCTTGCTGAACGACCTCTCCGGTCAGTGTGATGGTGTGCAGGTCTGTGTATGGCTGCTGGCTGCCACCTCTCTGAGCCTCGGCCTGAGTCAGTGGGTGCACCATTGACATGTGGACGTTCAGGTTGTGCGCCTTCTCAAAACGCTTCCCGCACATCAGGCACGCAAACTCCAGGTCGGCCTCTGCCTTGTGTTTGGTCATGTGGTATTTTAGTGATGCTCGCTGGCGACACTGGAAGCCACATACCTCGCACCTGCAGGAAAGGACAATGTTCCAAATGAATAGTGTTGTCACTGTGGAACACCAATGTGTGAATACCAATCGAGTGAGTTGGATATTGTATGTGGAGTGCCTCAAGGTTCTGTTTTGGGACCTAAATTATTTATATTATACATCAATGATATATGTAAGGTTTCTGAAACTGTTAAAGTGGTTTTGTTTGCTGATGATACTACCATTTGGGCATCTGATGAAAACCTACGGCAACTCTCGGTAAGGGTTTCAGAGGAATTTGTGAAGATAAAGAAATGATGTGATAGTAATTTACTATCTTTGAATTTGGAGAAAACTAAATATATGGTATTTGGGAACCGTAGACCACATAATGAACTTCAATTGAGAATTGGGGGTGCTAACATTGAACGAGTATATGAAATCAAATTTCTGGGTGACATGGTTGACGACAGATTATCCTGGAAATCTCATATCAGATATGTTCAGCATAAAATAGCTAAAAATATATCGATATTGGCAAGGGTTAGATATATGCTGGACGTTAAAGCATTGCACATTTTGTATTCTTCATTGATTTTGCCATATTTGGAGTATGGCGTTGAAAACTGGGGAAACACTTACAGGAGTTCACTTCAACCATTGTACATATTACAGAAGAGAGCGATAAGAGTTGTACACAAGATGGGGTATAGGGATCACACAAATGCAGTTTTCATACAGTCCAAATTGTTGAAGTTCTTTGATTTGGTGGAATATAAGACTGCTGTGTTTATGTATAAAGCCAGGAACGACTTATTACCTGGTGGAATCCAAAAGTTATTTGATGAAAGGGAACGGGGATATAACTTAAGGGGTCACTTAAATTTAAAAGTTCATGCTATACG